ATATGCATCCTCTCCCCGGCACTGCCGCTGGCGTACGCTGGAAGCGGTACGCTGCTTCCGCAAAGTATAAACGCAGCCTAATATGTTCAGAGAGGGCAGATATGACCACACTAGATCGAGTACGTCGTATACTTGATGTACTTGATCTACTTGCCCTGCTGGGCCGTAAATTCGGAAGAATTTCGAAAATTAGAGTTGAAGCTCTTATACGGAGCGAAGCAAAAATTTTCGCGCCAACCGGATGCAAACCGCATGCGTTTGACTTGAAAGCGAGACCATTACCACGAGGCCACGGTGGCACTGCCGAAGGCATCGATCAGCAGCGCTTACGAGCCAGAACTCAAACTTTGACCACCCAGATCTCGTCTGGGAGGTCCCCGTAGCACTTTTAATCTGCATATTCGTAATCAGCATTCGAGGCTCTATCGATGTACCTAGGTCTCCATTCGAAGTTCAAACCATTCCCTTGTAAGACTCGGGGAAACAGAGCACCAGGAGAAAATGAGAGACTGCTCGTCAAATGAAAAGGGTGAATTTGAGAAATTCCAGGAATAGGAGAATCGGCGAGTAAGCAAATTGAAGTTAAGTGGACTCCGGTTTTAACGAAGAGGGAGAGCGTGCAAACCTGAAGAGCGCAGGTCTTCTTGATTTGCATATACTTGCAAGCCGCGCTTTTTTTCGGAAACGCTGTAAGGCGTACTCAGTCGATACACATCTAGTCCTTGGTCACCTTCTCCCGACTCGTGTATTCCCCTCATTGAACACGATCTTTGCGATCGCGTTTATCTGAACTTGGGTCTTTTTGAGACCTGGTCATCTTTAGAGTATGTTTATATTTTGTTATGCCTACCGGATTTGTTATTGGTTCAACCGCTTTACTGGTGAACGTTTCGAGCAGATCGTCGTCTTCAGGACCTGAAAGTGGCTGTAGACCTTATTTGCGACTCACCCGATCGACCACTCCCTAAAAGTAGGACTGTTGAAGTATTTCCCGAGGACCCCAATTAGGAGACCTCCTGAAGGCGACGATCTGCTCGAGACGTAGACCAATGAAGCCGTGTCACCATTAACAAACATAGTCGGCGTAAGTCAAATCGAAAAACATAGTGTAGTGCCTGTCAGCGGGATGAGATTGGCGCGGTGCCAAACCCGTTCTCCACCCGCTGTCAAAGCGAGCAATTGATATGA